CGCATCGAGGACACAAAATGATTAAGAACTGTGCTAAAAGCATCATAGACTGATTTGAAAACTAAAAATATGTAAGCGTCAATCTCAACTGCGGTAAGTCGCCGATAAACTTCCGTTTGGGTAATTTTGTACAATTAATGCAGTATTCAGTTGGCGATTTTCAGAATATAGTTGATTTAGTTTTGTATGGATATTGCTGTCAAAAGATTAATCAGCATAAACGTGGACATGTTTGTGGGACTTCCTCAAATCATTATCATCGGAGAGATCATGGAACGCTTACATCGATTTTATAATTCAGCTGCGCCATTCACAGACCATCATGGTGCAGTACAGTGTTTTTGCATGATTTCTAAGCCGTGGAACTCTTAAAGATTCACTCATCCGTTTGATGCAGTATTCTAGATCGGTTTTCCAAAGCAAACACTTCCACAGTTTTGTAACTAGGAACTTAGTTAATGCTTCATGTAGGGTTAAATGCTTTGTAGTTGTAAACCGACAGCCAGTTATAATCACTCCTAGATTGTGTGTATGAACAGAAGAAGAGTAATAATATTAAAAGATTGTAGCAGTATGAAAGGCTACGAGTGTGCGCAATTCAACAGGATTGTTACACGCGCACACGATTTCAAACATATTTTCTTTCTAATTCGCCGATGACATTTTTGTGATATCGAAAAAAACAATTTTACCACAATTGCTAGTAATCTCGCAATCTAATTGGCTAATTTGCCGTTGTCGATAAGAGTCCAGACAACGCTGCTCGCGTCAATGTGTCACGCAATGCTTTTCCGCCTCGTGAGTCCACAACATTTTGACCCCTGTGACGACGCGTATCGTTGTCGCTAAGAGTTTAGACCACACCAAACCACATTCGATTTGTTAAATAGACCACATTTTTCCATGTTCGACACTGCAAGAGACCATAAAAACGATGTTATAAAATGTCGAAAACTTTGCTGTGAAGCCACTCCCTCCGGCGCGTAGTTCCAGTTGAGTTAGGCAAACTGTATTCACCGCCATGGTCTAAAAAGAGTGTAGAGCATGGAAAATTGAGGTTAATTTGTTACATATATCGCGAATTGCCCGAAGAAGCTTATTTTGCAAAGGTGTAAAAGTTTGATTCATGTGCTACTTACTCAGTTGT